AAATAATATTCATATTTTTTATCACGTAAAGATTTTTTTACAAATCGGGAAGAAAAAAACTTACTTGGATCAAAGTATTATTTCGTTTACCACAATGAACGTTTTTTATTATTATTAAATACAAACAAACTGAAGAAAAGGGACAAACATTGATGTCAAACGAATATATATCCTAATTCATTACGAGTTTTTGTGAAATCTACGTCTTTTAGTCTCAAAACTACGTGCTGTGGTCTTTCTTTTATGTACTGTGTCTGGAGCATCACGTTTCAATGGCCAGCAGTAATCAGCCATCATGTTTATGCTCCACCTTCCCTGATACCTCCTCTTCATTTCCCTGATGTTTTGATGAAATCATTCTCCATGTTCTTCGCTGACGGCACCGAGATTTTCAGGGAAATAGTCAATATGTGAGTGTAAGAAATTTTCAAGCTCATATTACAACCATCTCTTTGAATTTATCGAGCATGTTATTGACAATTTTTGCGTAATTTGGATCTTTGTTGTTTCCTAAAAGTTTGTCAATAACATCTTTAAAGACAATCCACGCTTCTTTTTCAATTTTCCTCATTGGCCTTTTTCCTTTCGACCTGTTCATTCGAAGTCAATTTCCTGATCTGTGGCCCAACAAACATCCCTTTTTCTAAGTTTCGCTTCTAAAAGAGCTAGAAATTGCCCACATAGATACTTGAAACAGTCGCCATCTTTGTCTAAGGCATTCAACTGCTTCATCAGGCCCAGTTTTATATGAAGTGGAGGTAATAGGACTTTCTTTCTGTCAACCAAATTTTTATCTTAATTGTTTTTCGATCCTGGTATCAGGCTGACTCTTCGTGGCCATTGCTTCTTTATTCAGTGCTGATTTCGTGCTCTGCTGTCCCAATCACACAAAAAACATGGAAACTTTGTTGAACCAACAACAACATACAAAGGACTTGAAAGTCTCCACAAAGTAACCAACCATGTTCTTTGTATTTGACCTTATTAAAAAAGAAGTTCGAGATTTTCGTACATTTTCTTCAAATGAATAGAATGAGCAATAGGAACTGATGCATATATGTTACCATTGTGAAGGAGAACACCTTATAGACTTCTTTTGAAGGAATCAATGAACAATCGCCACTCACTTGGTTCATAGACTGCAGCTCCTAGCGTTGGTATTAATTCAGCAATATTGTTACAATAAACCTTCTTGTAAAGAGTATGGTATAAACTATTTCTCACGGCTTCTGTACCAGTAAAACGATGTCCCTGGAGAAAGTAAATTCTTTGCCCGAAATCTGGACCCCAAAATTTCTGAAGAATTCTTTGGAAGATCCAAATCTCTAACCAAATCATTACGTTCATCTTGTGTGAAAAGTTGTGGTTCACCAGATGTTTCAGATTGAAAATAATCCCTATCATCATTTATATTAACATCAGGTTCAGAATCAGATGAAACTTTATCAAGAGGCTTCGGTGGAGTAGGTACAGGTACATCAGGTTCATGAGCAACAGGTGTTATAGCAGATTGGAGGTTCGGATAAGAAATTTCCTTTTTATTTCGAGTGTTGTAGCCTTGCATGTTACAGGAGCAAAAATAGTAGTCATCTCCGTGGTTTATTGACTCACGCCAGACCATTAGAATTTTAAAAGGCAAATACTTTTTCTTACCTTTAGTCCATTGTCTCAATTCTTCGACACAAATGGTGAAAACTTTGTGCGGAGCCCATGATTTGTCTCGATTCCCAAGTTTTATTCCAAAATACGCATAGTATGCTTTTTTGACGAATTCTGTAATGTTTTGCCTTTGTTTCTTTACAACAAATTTACCACCAATATAACAGAATATGTTTGGGTCATTTACACAATCTTTTGTTGCCATAGTGATGAATAAAAAATGTTGAAAAGAAAAAATAATGCCAAAGAGCACGCACAAACAAATACTATCCAGAAATGACACGTCATGCAACCTGTTAACCGTTTATATACTAGCAGGGTGTTTCTCGTGGGTTCTAGAACGATCGATAAGACTCTTACGTTGCGATTGGTCTAGAGGAATCTATAGGCAGTGGTTGTCAACATCTTAAACATTACAAAATATGACCCGATTTCAATGAAAATGATTCATTTATGTAAAAGTACATATATCGTTTTGTGAAAAATCTGTATGTGATAGAGGAAAATGGATATCATTTTCGGATTCAGCGTACACGAATTACTGTAGAATATGTAAAACTTTCACGACAATAAAACCATGGCAGGCCTGTGTAATCAACCAATAATCAACTGACTTCTTACTGACCAGAATAACATAATTTTCAACTTACGTAAAAAATATCTTTCTGGTAATGGACATGCTTTAAACATACCAGAATCATGTATTTTTCAATTTACGCGTAAACATTTTGTATACAGTGTTTATATTATTTATAAAATCCTGTAACGATAGCGATTTCTACAAACAGAAAAGCGTCTATGAACAAAAACCATGTATTTTGTTTCAACAAGTAAGGGCGTTTTTTATACATTAAATAATCTCTTGCGGAATCAAAGTACTTTAATTTACAAAACGTACTAAATATACTCTACTAAAGGTCCAGTTTCTTATCAGATGGTTAGGATGCTCGACTCGCAATCTGAGGGTAGCAGATCCGAATCCCCCTCCCACCAGACATGCTCGCCCTTTTTACGTTTAGTTTAGTTCTAAAATAACATATTGTTAACTACACGTGCCTCTGTTAGAAGTACAGTGAATATAAGAGATAGATGGTTTAGCTGAATATATTATATGTATACAAAATGACCACAGAGACTTCCCAATATTGTTGGTTGGACTAATTGTTTGAAATAAGACATTTGGTAACCAAGGTAAAGTTTTGAAGTAAAACATTAAAAACGTAAAGAAGATTTTTAGATGCGAGAGTCTATAATTTCACATTAGAGATCCTCTATTGGCCTACACCCTCGTATTGGCTATGGTTCACTGGCTTATACCCTCGTGTGTGAGTTCTGCTATTGGACTATACCCTCATGTCCAGGATCTGCTATTGGTCTGTTTCTTGATTCTTAGAATTTTTTGCTGATCTAAACCCTCATGCTTGGAATTCGTTTTCAGCACATACCCTCACTTTCAAGATCCGCTACTGATCCTTTTTTCAAACACATATTTCACATGATATGGGTTTGATCATTTACCAGTTTTATTAAGCTACCTTAGCTACTAAAGTACATGCATTAATCTTCATTCTATCATATTTTACTAATTTATATATCTTTAATATCTATATATACTACTAAAACTCTGAGATTGTTTGTTTGTCTGTAATTAAATACAGCAAAAACTGCACACAATAGAGCAATACTTGTAAGAATACTGTATCCCTGAAATGAGAATAGAAACAGAATAAAACAAGTTTCGTTAAAATCGGGCCACAGGTTACCGAGTTTGCGCCATTTTTCGGGTCACTTTTATGAAAATTTCTAGCATGAGTAATTTTACATCACACTACCATTCGTGCTCTTTACGAAACTTTTTCATTCAAATTTATTTCCCTGTCAATGTTCCCATCTTCATTAAAAGGCGTAAGATGACAAAAACAAGATCTTGAAGAATTTCCCAATAATGTGCCTTAGTTATGGTAGGTAATTCGAAGAAAAAATAAAGTGTTACTGTTTCTTATTTGTAGAAGGTTTAAGAGGAAAGACTACAACATAATGAACTAATTCATCACAATAACTGAAAACTCTGACTTCACTTTTTTGAAAAATGAAATGGTCTTTCCTTTTACTCCCGATCAACAATCTCTTCTTGAATTATGAATTGAAATATGGATTGAAATATTTAATTAAATTATCTAAAAACAAACCTTCATTTTGGTGCAATATTGAAATTAGCTTGAATTCTTCATAACCTCTGAATAGTGGGTGACCCAACAAGTCACGGTGGTCTAATATACTTACAAAAGCTTACACTCGAAGATTAAAGTTTACATATGCCTAAAGTTAACAGCAGCAACAGTGTCCTTCACAAGATATTAAGCTTTTAGCTTAAATTAGAAATTAAACATTATATAGCCTGTTTACTCCCAATTGTTTCTGAATGGGGTTGAAATCTTAAATTCAGTTATGTAACTTTTTCAGTATAAGCATGAGATGTGCTTTTGTTACATGCAAGGTTACATGTTCCTTAAATATAACTTTCTGATGTTGAACAGTGATTGGAGTTTAAATCTCCTTTTAACCAAGAATATTCTATTATTCATTTGCTATAGTCTAAATAAATAAATTTTTCATTGTTATTGAAATGAAGTGATAATATCAGGACATTTTTACAGGACAAAAACCATCAGTTTATTTGCTCCCCAGTAGTTTATGAGTAGTAGTACAATTAGCATTTTCTTACAGAAGTGTAACTTGGTAACAACTATGATACAGTGTGATAAAATCAAAGATTTCTAACACAAGCTTAGTTTTCTGGCTAAATTTGTTTTACTTGGACCCTTCAGTAGTAAAATAAGATTGTGTAAAAAAGAAAAAATTAACACAGGTTTACTTAAAGAAACCCAACAAAATGTGATACAAACAGGATTTTCTTCGACCCAAGTCTAACATTTACTTACTCTTGGCCTTAAATATAAACACTATAAAAACATTATTATCAGAATTTTATTCCCTTAATTATATGCTTTCCATCAACTTTTTATACATGTAAAACCATAAATATGAATTAATGTTCAGGTTAATATGGAATATATATATATATATATACACAAAAAAATATGAATTAAAATTTCACCAAGATTACATAATGGTCCACACACATATATAACTATTCCCAAGACAAATGCTTATATATATATCATCCATGCTATCTAAAACAAAATAACAGTAATGCTACACTTCATACATAGCTAATCAGACTTAATCACAGTCCATTAAAGAATGGCTTAGTAATCCCTCTTGCAAAAAAAAAAAAATGAAACAAATAAATCATCTCTCTTTACCCAAACAGCAAGACAATCTTTGTGTGATTGAGTAGATAAATCCCAAATCTGGCATCCAAATTTAAGTGAAGTGTATCACTTGATAACTAAGGACCTATGTTTTTAATACCATTCATTGACTTTTTGGAGATCTGAAATGCACTTTTCCCAAACCTGGGATGTTCTTATTATGTCATGTATTATTAAAAACTACTACAGCAAAAGCTTTGTTATCCAGCATATTTCCATCCAGAAAACTCTTGTAACCATAAACTTCAACATCTCCAAATACAAATACAAGTCTCTGACTGGTTGGGGTAATGAATGCTTAATTCAGTATATGAATAACTTTATGCTTAAGCTTATCTTTCCTTCCTCTGACTTTAGGAAGTAAATACACCATTATGCAGAAAAATGTATGTATATTAAATATTTTGTTCAATAGCATTTAAAAAAATTGGGCATACACCTAAAATTTGTAAAAATAATTACAGAGGTACTAAGGTAAGCCATCATTATACTAATGACACTTGTATTCCAATATGCAGCTAAATAGCTCACAATGAACTTTCGGCACAAAAACAAAATGACACGAGAGGACAGTGTGTTGAGAATCTAGTGTAGTGCACAAATTTGCAATATCCTCTGTATTAGTGAGCTATTATATTCAGTCTTGATGAGTTTTCACCAAAGTCATGTTTGCTTTCCCAAAACTCTTTAGGTACATAGCCTAAAAAGTGACACAACATGCATTTATTTCCAGTGTGTATTCCATTGCATTTAAACATAAAAGAAACTTATTGCTGAAACATATCAGGACAAACATTAGAAGATTTCACAATTTTCTTAGCCTTCCTGGGATATTTGGTGCAGAAATGCAACACTTTTGTGTTTCAGTATAGTTTTATTATCTTGTAGTTTTCAAGTCTTAATGAAATACATAACACTATTCTAATATTTAAGAACAACTCCCTTCAACAATATTCTTAAGTTTCCTGAAATCTCCACATTGGCAGATACCTTACCCCAAAAGTATCACTAAGTATTTAGAAGTCTCCTATGATGTATTTTACTGTGTTAATTATCTCTGAAAGTGAAAATCAGAATATTAATACAATGATTGCATGGACCCTTGCAAGTTGCAATACAATCTATTTTTTAGTATTTATATACCTAGAATATAGCACATTGCTCATTACTCTAGTTTGATTTGTCTGTGTACCAAAAATTCATTGTTCACTGTCGCATTATATGTTCCCTTCATGAAATGAGTCATAGTTTCTTTAGTGAAGGCAACTGTTACTTTTAAGTTTAAAGACTAAGTTAGGCTTACTCCTATTTTTAATTCACCTTTATTCCGATATTCGTGTTAAACTACACTACATTCAACATATGCATGAAAAAATTAAAATCCATAAATAGATGCAAGAAAAACTGAAATTAGATTAAACTAATTTAAACTATTACAATTAATTCATTCCTAATCCCTTATAATTGTTTCGCAACGTACCAACTACACAAGCTACAACAGTTCTCTCTAGTCTAGACTAGGGCCGAGAAGGTTCGACGAAGCCAATCCTCGAGTCTGTAATCACAATAACATTTACTTAATATTAATAATCACGTATGCACTGTTATTTCTATTAATTTTATTTTTTATCATTGTAAAGCACGGTATACAGCATGCACCGATATAGACATATTCTAATTAACAAACGAAAGTTAAAAGAAACATTCTTTCTCGATAATACGACTATCATTAATCAACATTTCACTTCACACACCTTCCCTTAAACTCCTACACATAAAATGCCATGTACTGTCTGCAGTCGAACTTCTTTAACATATCACCAGAGCATACAGCGAAAATAAAATGTAACCATCCTTTCTTTATTGTTATTATTAATATCATTATCGCTGTGACATTTCCAACAAACACAGATGTGATAGTAATTTATCAATATTAAAACTTATAAATGATGTTGTAACTGCTAAGGTAACACATGTTAATCGAAAATTATTTTTGTGTTAGAAAATATAAATCATTAACATGGTTTTCAGTTAGTAATATTTAAACGGATATATATTTTTAAGCAAGTTAGCATATTGCCGTAGCATCGTCCTTTCATTGGCGTGTTCTTTTATATTACCCGGTGAAGATAATTTTACAATAAGTCCACGTAAAGATAATATAATATATTACATTATTTCCTCCTTTAACGTTTCTACAAATATGAACACTCGTACGTTGCCGAAAATAGCTGTAGGCCTACGTTATGTTACGTCTCCGTTTGTTAATTAACTTTCCGTAACTTCGTTCCGACGAAACTTTAGCGACACAAGTCCTTACTTAATAAAACTGGTTTATTCTTTCCGAATATAACTTATTTTCAATATTCGCGCTAAAACAAACGCTATAACAACGAACGTTAACTTCAACAATACGTCTCTCTCTGACTGCA